ACTTTTGACCCGAGCAGCTCAAACTCTCTGACAGAAGAGTGAGCAGCAACACCGGCAGATGCATAAATGTTTTATTAGGGAAACATGAATCAGCCTTTAATCCATAATCTCCTGCTGGAGCTGGAGCAAAGCCAGCTTTTCACTGGTGACATCAGCATGACTAACAAAGGTGCAGGTGAAACTCTTACCTGAAGCGCGGGGAGTCCTTCAAACCCTCCTCAAAGTCCAGCTTCACCGTCATCCTTTGCGTTGACACCAACCCTCGTGACACTTCGTGTATGTATGTGACTCCTGGCTTTCAGCTGGAGGTGCAGCCTGGCAAAGACAAAAACTAACTCTTTTCCCCCCCCACTCGTTTTAACGCTCCACATCGGCAGCCCGGATCATTGTTCTCGCTGCTGGGTGTTTTCGCTCTCGTGTAGAACTTGTTTTCCTCTCCGGGTTTCTTTCTTTTTCGCCCGATCTGTTGCACATTCGCGTCGGAAGAGAACTTGTCAGCACTGAATGAACTGAGGGGATGTTAGTCGCGTCATTACCATCTTATGCGGCAGATTTTAAAAAAAAGGGAAAAAAAAGGCACAGTCCGGCGCAGAAGATGCGCAAAGCCACGGGAGGAGTTCCAGCAGAGGGCCAGAGTGTCCTTATGGATCCCAGAGGATTTCAAATAAAATCCGATGGCAGCGTGAATCAGGACTCCCTGGGGGTGCCGAGTCTAGTACTCTGCCTGTCTCTCTGCCTCTCTCTGTCTCAGAAGAGGTCCACCCCCCATGTCACGTCCCACTATTTCCGGGTTTGTTACTCATGGCAAACTGTGGTTTTGAAGTAGGAAGCTGCACATAATAAGAGGCATACACGGCCAAGTTGCATCATATGAAAAAAACGCCGAGCTGAAAGACTTACAATGTGACACTAACGTTTAACATCCACACCGGCTACAGCAGGCCGTGTCGTGACTTTTCACCCCCCTCACTTAGTTTCTCCCTTTGTTGTTTGTGTGTTCTACTTGTCAGTTACAGTACAACAGTGAGCTTCACATGCAGTTAGACTGGGTGTGTATTCTTGTCTGACAACCTTGTCTGTTATGGTTTTTGCTGAGGTGTAAAGAAACTCCCCCATAGCCACCCACTGCCAACAGATCCACTATGGAAGTTCATTCATGCCAAGAAAATAATGAACCTATTAATAGCAATGGAAAAGTGATTCCACGAATGGAAGAACAAGAGGTTTGACATTCTGTGTTTAAATATGTGGCGTTGTTTTGATTTTTAATGTGTCTAAATGGCTTTAATAAAACTATTTTTAAAAATGTGCACACATTTTCTACATAAATCCAAAGTGCCTTTCTTTTTTACCCTTTGCCCACAGCCAATAGTGTGTAACTACAGGAAATATTAGGTTAGAAATGTAGTCCACTAGTTGCTATACCACAACACCGATGTAAGGCCAAAAGTAAAACTGATAACGTTTTGCTAGGAATATTGTTTCACCCTAGTGACAGATCCAAATCAAACAGAGAGATTCATTATTCATAGGGAAGCAGGAGAAATATCATTATAAGAATAAGGGCACCAGGTTAGCTGCTAACCTGGTGCCCTTATTGCAGGGGTTGCTCATGTGCTGACAAACTTCAAACTACAGCAGAGTCAATGTACAAAGTTTGCAATGACAGACGAGGTGAGCGTAGTCACAGCACGTGCACTTGTCAGCAGAGATTTTACATTACAATGCACTACACATGTGCCTGAACTTCAAAGAAGTATAACAGGAATGACTACTCCGCCATCGCCAGCTATAACTGAGTATAGCCGAGTGATAAGTGGCAAATAGTTTGATTCTGTTTAAACAAGCCTAATGACAACAATGAACAGCACTCAACAAAAACGAGGCGTTAACCTTCTGGGAATGAAAAAAGAAAGAAGAACAAGAGCAAGAGGAGTGAGAAAAAAGTCAGCACATAATAACAACTGAATATAACACTAAATAATTCGTGTGAAATGAACTGTGGAGGACAAAACCTTAAATAACCAAAATGTCCAAAATCAAATTCTGCTTAGGACCCAGTGATACCTCTGGCTGACTCTGCTCAGGCATACAGTACACTTGTCTCTCAGTTGTCATACAACATATGACATACAGTGCAAAACAGTGCAACCCAGAAAAGGTGGAAAAACTGTTAAGATACAAAATAAAAATTGAGATATCATTCAGAAAATGATAGAATATAAAGATTACAGCAACAAAAATCTAAATACAATGCAATTAGCATGATAAAAGTAAAAACAGAAGTTAAAATATGTGAAATGTCAGACTTCCAAGGTGAAAATTGTTAGTATTTCAGCTCAACATCATGAAATACAAAGAAACTCCGTGACTTCCTGGGTCAAAAGGAGGCAACTAAAGACTCGGTTATACTCAGCTGTGGACAGTTAGACAACTAATGACTGTTCCTGTTATACTTTATGAAGTCTGCCGCCTGGTTGCAGGGACAGTTGCTACATTGTCATGTAAATTCTCCTTGGATAAGTCTGCACAATCCCAAAAATCAGGCAGGTATGTGGATGTACACAGGACCATCTGATGATGAGCTTTACCTCACTGGTACCCAAGTGGACGTTATCGGACTTGTACAATCCCTGCTTAAATAAAAAAAAAAAAAACATGCAACCTACTCACTAAAGACCTCGATAGTACTTCAAAAGAATGGCTAACTCAAAAAAACACGAGTAAGTACTGTACAGCTGACTGAGGCTTTCTATGTTAGAATGATAGTAGAAAATAAAGAGTAAATCATCATCGCTTATTATCTAACACGTTCAAGTTACAATGCAAAAACATAAAAAATATAACTTTTTAAATTTTTGTCCTGGCAGAGTTGGGCTTCCATACATTTCACAAACCGGCACAACAAACTATTGGCCAACATTAAATAACCAATCTTGGCTTCGTTATCATTCCCACAAACTTGTGTAGTCAGGTTTGTAGTCAGACAGTATAAAGCCTGTGGTGGACTACTTTGCGTGGAGGTGTAATTACAGCGGCTCAGAGGACTCTTCTGTCTACCTCCATCATACCACCGTGTCGAAATGCACAAAAATACTCTATTTATCTATCCGATCCTGTGTGTGGCTCCCCCTGCTGATCAGAAACAATCATTGCAGGCTCGCCTATCTCATCAGACAACAACATAACTGTACTGATGTTTTTCTTACTTCCTTTGCTTTCACGTCACTGTTCTTTCCCCCTTATTCCCTAAAAGTCTGGGTGTCGGAGGATCACAGCAGAGTGACGCCTTCGGTGTCCAGACTGTTCCTGTTTCAGTGGGAAATTATGTGATTCTCACATGTATTTTCTCAGGCGACACGGAAAGGGCGTAGTTAGGTATGCTGTTGCCAAGTTGCTTCATCAAAATAAACAGTGAAGTGATTTCAGAAGTGTACCAGCCTTAACGTTTCAAAGTAGGCCCTTCACCAAAATTCCCATGCCAAAGATGTATATATATATGTGTGTGTGTGTGTGTGAAACGTATAAAGACGGGGACAGAAAACCGCATGTGTTTTACACAACTCACAACTATAAAGGATTAAATAGTAATTTTAGCTTCTCAACTTTACGTATCTAAGCCCTTAAAAACATCCTGCCCCCCTTCCAGAGCGGGCAGCAGAAGCAAAGTGCAAGTCCTGCGCCAGTAAACGGGGGCGTGAGCGTAAATAGCGCACACTGATAGCGCGGCACAGACAGCACGTAGCGACAGACGGTCGCTTCGGAAGGAGAAATAAAACCGTTTTGTGCGAAGTAAACTTGGCGACTCGACAGGTTCTTGTTTGTCTTTGACAGGAGATCCCCTCAGCATCTCTCCAAGAGCCAAACCAGTCAGAATAAACAGGGTCACATCCGGCAGGATTTTCAAAGTAAAGCACGAAACGAGACTCCTGAAAAGAAAGCGTGCTAGGAGCACACTCTTTGTTGGAGGGCTTTATTCTATAGTGGCTATTTATAATAAAGTAAAAATGTATGTGTATATTAGTTGATAAAACACAAATAAGATATAACCAACTTAAATAAAAGGCAAAACTGCAGTCGCCACCAAGTTGTAGAAATTGTAGTAATGTTTAATTATCTATTTTTTTTGCCAGGCCCTTCTCATAGCTACACAAAGCATTTAGGCCAATGTGGATAGTTCATTGCCAAGGTTTAAATACAGATGATCATATTGATGCATCACATGATTTTCTGTAATGTTCTCTAATTACAGGTCTTCATACATAGGGGTGGGTCAACATTTGGCACTTTTAAGCTCTGTTAAAAACTGCAAATCTACTTTAACCCATCTCCAAGTGAGACAGAATTAGTATGATATGGGATATATCATAGTCTCAATAGTAAATCTGTACCAATTTAATCCCTGTACACTAACAGAAGCCATGATTGATATGCTGGATGTTTTATTTTCTGTTGATTCGCTGGAGAAACCATAGAAAGTAGGTCATATCCTCCTGAGATCGAGCCTATTCATTAGGTTCTCTGTAGCGGACAAAATAAGATAAACTGAAACATACTCCCCCCCCCCTCCCCCCGGTTCTCAGGAAAACATTACCATGTGTGTAAAACCATTTATAGCATATGAAAGATCTGCTCTGAGTCACTTTTTTCATATTTGACTGATTTCATAAGGAATGACCCAGCTGCTATTTTCCAAACCAATAAACAGGTGTTACCTTTAAAAGTAAGATCAGGCTTGAAAGGAAACTTTGAATATATCACACGATCCTTATGACATTTTAATGATTTTTATTTCTCAGCGTCTTTATGGCAGACTAAGAGTAATACAGCTGATTCACTGTGACCCACAGAATAACTGGAAAATACCTTGACCTACAAAACAGTTGATGAGATAACCAAGTGGTTATGCTGGAACGATTTTTTTTAAAGAAACAGGCAACCAAAAAGTAAAAATGTCACAGTCGCTCTCGAGAGTCCCTTGTCAATCGCTTTTATTTTGAAAGGTATCCCGAGCTGCTTCCGCTATGCTGCAGGTGGGTCGCTCAGGGCTTGACGCGCCTTTAGTCCGTGCAGCCTTGCGTTTGGGGTGAAGCCGCATAAAAGCGTTTCCATAATGCGGGCGTGAGGTGCTCCTTGGAGTAAACGGAGGGGATCCGGGAGGAGGACCGCGGAGTGTTAACCGGGGAGGGGGGGAAGCCTGCGTGACAGGCGGCGACCAGAATAATTAAAAAAAAAAAATGTCGAACCGTAAGCACCGGGACAACCAAGAGATCTGCGCCCGCAAGGTCCGGGAGCTGGCCCAGTCTGGAGTAAACAAACACTGCTTCGAGTGCAACCAGCCCGGGGTGACTTACACCGACATCACCGTGGGCAGCTTCGTCTGCACGTCGTGCTCCGGAATGCTGTGAGTGCAAACCCCGCCGCCCCATCCGGGGGTGGGGAGGGGTGTGTGGGGGGTTTATTTACTGCACATTTAGCATCAGTGTGAGGGGCAGCCAGATACTGATAGAGTAAAAGTACCAGGCCTTAGATTACGCCGTGCACCACCCAGCCACGGACAAATGTGTATCATTTGGTTCCCCTCTCCTGACGTTAACAGGGGTTGTTGGTGCTATGCAACAGCCGAGGATGTGTGCACACATTAATTTACGCAGTGTCTACCTCTCTCTGTCTCTCTCCCTCTCTTTCTCTCGTGCGTGTCTCCCAACAGCTTGATAACCGACAGACCGCTAGCTGGTCATTTTCCAGCTCTGAGTTACGTTTCATTTCGTCATGGTGCAGGTTTGACACCACCTCTCTCTCTCTCTTCTCTCTCTCTCTTTCTCTAGGCTCCTTTTCAATGTGGGCGTGTGTGAGTGAGTGAGAGAGAGAGTGTGTGTGCGCCTGTGTGCTGTCACACTTTGTTTTGCATGTTCAGCCTAGTCCCCGGCACTCCTCTTCAGGAAGACGGTTTCGGCACTCAGTGTGCGTCATTGCGCAATCTTGCACATGTACAACAGTGTCCCACTTTATGTCCCCAGCATGAAGAAAATAGGAGCTTCTGGAAGACATGTGTCTCTCTCTGTCACGATTGTGTGTGTGTGTGTGTGTGTGTGTGTGTGTGTGTGTGTATGTTGTCTTCTCCACAACAAATCTGTCCTTTGATTCACGGTCACGTGTCAGATATATTTCCTTTCCCACCTGCTCCATCCCCTTTGTGCTGTCTTTAGAGGTGAGGGCTGACTGCAAATCTTCCCATTTCTCTCCTTTATTTGACTCATCCATCTCTCCTCTGTGTCCCAGGAGAGGCCTCAACCCTCCCCACAGAGTCAAGTCCATCTCCATGACAACTTTCTCCCAACAGGAAGTAGAATTCCTCCAAAACCATGGCAATGAGGTGAGTGAAGTCCCAGCTGGGGGCCCGATACATCGTGTTTGCTTCACTTTAGAAAACTTTGAGGAAAAAAAAAAAAGAAAGACGTGCAGCTGAATGTAATTTCTTCCTGTTGTTGACACTGCGGAGTCGTCCGAGGACATCAGCTACCATTTCCTTTTTTTTCCCTCTTCTTTGGTCCAAATTCAAGGTTAAAACTGTCTGTTTGTGGTTCTGATATGGAATGTGAAACGCCCCTTGAGACTACCAGTCCAACCAGTCTTTGTGGCAGTGCCTTTTTTTTTTTTTTTTTTTTTTTTTGGACGAGGAGGAGGGAAGGGGGGGAATACTAGTGCCAACCTCATACTGTGCCAAGAAACAAAAGGATGGGGCACTTTATGTCCCACAAAACCACGATCTATTTCCTTTCTGTGTGTGTGTGTTTTTTAAAACCAGGGTTTAAACTCTGAACAGACCCCATTTTAACCAAAAGTCAAACAAAAGCACCCTATCAAAATCTCTTCCTTTATTTACCTTTATTTAACTAGCAGGGTTTGGTGACATCCGAACCCTCTCACAACAGAGACCCAGCCAAATAAAACATCCAAATATTTATGTAAATGCAAAGAAAAACGACCGTGTCTCTTACCAAACGTTCTGTGTGATGTTTTTTTTTTTTAATAAACTAAACAATTAATATGAGAATTGAAAAGCGGCCGTTTGCAGGATTGTAACTGATAACAGTTGGAGCTGAGGCAGAGGATGGTACAGAGGTGAACTTGCCGTTTACTCAGTGTTTGTTTATGCCAAGAGTGTTGAACTTATTTGAGTGTTTGGGCTACAGTTAGATCCAAAAGTGGGCCGTACCTGTACAGCCTTTTTATAATAACATATAAAAAGCACTTCCCCCTTTATCTGACCTGAGTGTGTTGGAACTAAACATTCTTTTTTTTATTTTTTATAACTTTATGATTTTGACTTTGTGATTCAAGAGCTGGACAAATACCTTGTCCAGCTCTTGAAATCCTTTTAAATTTTTAAATGTTTCTACTCTCGTGTAACAATTCTGGGAATAGCGCATCATTAGCAGCAGTGCATTTTATTGAAACACTGGAAGTATTAATGATATCGCTCTGTTTTCTTTGTAGAAACCTGGAAAATTGACCAGTGGTGCAGATCAGCAGGCTATTTTAGGATTCATTTTATGCAGCTTAGCTATTTTTGTCAGTACTGAGTGATATCTCTTATTACTTATTATTTAACAAAGCCTGACATTATCTTCTAGAGTTTAAATGAAGGCTTCAAATCGGTTTGTCTTGGTCCAGAAAAACCTAGAAATTCGATATAAAAAGAAATAAAACCCTCACGTCATCAAAATGAAGTTTTGATATATTTTCCAACTTCCATATTAATATAATACCAATCAGTCCAGCTGGTTGAGCTACAATTACTTCAACTTAGATTATTATGGTAATTATTGTTTATTTCTGTAGTTTGAAAACTTAATTACCAAGTTAATTAAACCTCATTTTGGTGCTGAAATGTGATTGGATTGCATAAGGCCCCCCCCCCCCTCCTCACAGCATCCACTTCGGGAGCCACTGGTTCAGGCAGCTCTCTCTGCTGAGCATATACCAGTAAGTGGTAAAGAGTTTGAGGCTATCAGCACAAGTGCTTATCAGTTTTTATTAGCTTGTTGTTGGTCAAGTGAGTCAAGTGTAATGTGCAGAGAGGCATAGGTGTGCATCGTCCAGCTTTTCCTTTCTCATCATCCTCTGAAGAGTGATCCGGTCAGTCATGATTCGCTGCCAGTAATATTTGCTGCACTCTTGCACCGGAGATGAGTCACTGATGAGAAAATCTGTGTGTATATCTGAGAGACTCTCTGAGATTAAATGTCAAACAAAAACCAGGGATTGCTCTCATTTTCTACTCAGGGAATCGGAAACTCACTAACCCTCTTTTTGTTTTTGATGGATCGGTCCCAAGCAGCGTGGTTTTAATGTGACTTCTTGGAAATGTGTGTCTTCAGGTGGGCAGAAGGACGTGGCTGTGCGTGTTTGACCCAAAGAATGACGGCTGCTCCGACATGAAGGACTCACAGAAGTTCAAAGAGTTCCTTCAAGATAAATATGAAAAGAAAAAATGGTGAGAGCTTGGCCTCCGCCTGCATATAACCAAATTATAATATATGCTGATGGAAGCAGAGAAAAGCATCTTAATTTTTATTCAGTTCATTTATTTATTTTAAATAAATTTTTTCGGTTTAAAAAAGCCCAGCAAATGTTCAAGTTTGCATGTTAATAGTTAAAAGCCTTTAAAATAACAAAATAAAACCTTTTACAGTAAGACTGTTTATTATTTACAATATTTTTTAATTAGCACCATTATTGAGTAAATATGTTAGTCTGTTTAAAATAGAGCAGCTTAAAATAAAAACAGCAAATGTTAGCATGCTAATATTTAAAACTAAAGTAGCAAACTTGCTAATTAGCAGAGTGCTGTACTTCCTGCTGTTAAAGGGTAATATGAGTAAAAATAAAAACCCTTTCAGTATTGTACATATGTACAAATGCAAATAGCTATAAAAAGAAAATTAATTAGAATTATTATTTTGAGCATGATAGCATGCTGACGTTAGCATTTAGCTCAGTTTTTATTGTGTTACAGAGCTGCTAGCATTTGGCTGTTCTGCTTGTGCAATAAACATATTTAAAAGTGTAACTGTAAAAAGAGTCATTTTGAGAGGTTAAAAGGGAACACAAAGTAAAATGAAAACAATAGCTAATTAGGGTTGTGTTAAAGTTAGGCTTTCCATGTTTGAATAAGAGATATTTGCTCAGAAAAATTAGCTGAAGGCTAATAGCTGCCTATTTTCAAGCTTAGACAATGCTCTCAATCTTCTTGTTTAGCAAATAAATGACCAGATGTCAAGCTTTAATTGTGTTGCTAATGAGACTGGTTAGTTACACTGCATCATTTGTGTTTCGCAGGCATTTTTCCAAAAGTAAGAACCGGAGAGATATGGAGGGTCCTTGGAGTCCAGGGGTTCAGGCTATGCCCCCTTCTCATGGTCCCTTAGCGAGCCAGGGGCTATCCCATAATATGCCTCCAAATGCCAGAGCCACGAGACCACTGGTAAGAAGCTAAAGGTGTGGTAGTTGTCTGTGAAATGGGTGGAGGTAAAGTGAGGGGAGTGAAAGTGAGAAGACGAGGGTGGTATGCGTGTGTGGTTTTAAATAAATAAATAAAAACAGGAAGGGAAAGCAGAGGAGATTTTCAAAGGGTATCGAAAAAAGGATAGAAAGTGAAGAAATGACCTGAATTCGCCGCGGCACAGAGACAAAGACTGATGGTTCGGACAGTCGGAGGGCCAGGTAGCCTCGGCTTCAAAGCCTCTGCTTATGAATTATTGAGAAAGGATGAAAGAGACTCACTTCCTCTGGCTTTGTGTCTCTCTTTCTACCCTCCATCTGCTTCTCTTCTGTCTCCTTCGATCTCTCATCCTCCAGTCTCAGTCCCAGCTGCCGTCTTGGGATCGAGCCCCCGCCATCTCTCCCGCCGACATGCGGACAGACGCGTTCACGGCTCGGCCGTCGCGCTCCCAAAGCTTTAGAGACCCCCCTCTGAAAGGTGAGAGGAAGATTTGTTTGTGGCATCGTCATGTGCTTATCTCTTCTTTTAAAATTGTTTTTAATGCATCTTTTGTTTCTTTCCTACGCAGATCCCACCCTGTGTGGGATAGAAAGACAGCGACCAGGCTCTTTGTCGTCAACACTGGGAGGTCAGAACCACGGTCCCTCATTCCCCGCCCTTCCACGGCCTTCAGGTGTGCCCTCCGCCCACTGGATGCTTTGTGCCACTGTTAGTAGTAAACTTATGAAGGCTTTCACAAGTTTACTACTAATGTGTCTCCTACCAGCTGTGTAGTAAAGTGCCACAGTGTTTGCTGTATTTGGAAAGCTAGTTCCTCCTCTTATGTGATCTTAGGAAAGATTCCTGGTTAAAAAATAGACACTGTGCTTTCTCTGTTCTATTCCTGACGCCTCTAGCAAGAACATTTGGCAGTGCATCGTTCACGGTGTAAAGATCATTGAATATTTTCGCTGATTCTCACTGATGTCGCTCTCCGCTCATCAGAGCCGGCGAGTGGCAGATTCATGCGACGCCAGTGGCACTCACTTGTTTCTCCTTATCTCCCCTCCTCTTTTCTCCTCTGTCTTCTCCCTCTCTTCTCCAACCACGTAGCCAGTAGCTCGTTCAAAAACCACTTCACTTTAGGTAAGATGCATCTCCGGCCGATGCTTTTGAGTGTGTGCGTGTGCGCTCGTGTGAATGCTGAAATCAATAAGCTCTTCCAATGCTGTATCATTTATAATAGATGGCCAATCTGCGGGGCGCGGCGGTGCTTAGCGAGCATCACATGCATGTGAGTTGGGGTTTGTTTCAGAGCGGCCTGAGGGGAGAGGCGACGCAGCACTCTGTATTCATTTAGCCAGCGAGTCGTGGCTGGCCAGTGTCACATACTGCAATTGGGGTCAATGTTTTTCTTCATCACTCAGGTTTCCCACTTCAAAGCCCAGATCTGAAGCCTAGGAGTGTCAAGGACACACACACACACACACACACACACACACACACACACACACACACACACACACACACACTGTTCCCTCCCTCAGAGGAAAAAGAACAAGTTTAAAGTGGGGCTATTTTTAGGCCGGAGCTGCTGCTGCTGCCCCCGTCAGCAGAGGGCCGCTGATATTTCGCACCACGTTGGCGTTGAAGCACTTCAGAACTATGTAGGGCACAGCTGTAATCGCGCCATACACATTTAACACCCACAACAATATGCTAGGGAGTTCAGGTATGCTCTCAAAGACGGAAAAACATGTAGATACCAGCAGATAAGCTGCATCAGGTCCATTCTGCTCTGGTGTTTGTCTTCATGGAGACCATGTTGGATTTTAACTTCTGATCCCATGCCCATAGCTAACTGGCTGATCCAGACTCTGATATTTTGCTACAAACACTGATGTTAAACGTCATTTCCTGTTTTTGTTAACTTCTAACAATTGCATCTAAGACGTTTCTGGCTTGCTGCTTTCCTGTGGTGTTTTTTTTTTTTTAATCCCTAAACACGATGAGTGTGTGTGCTTTATTTAGTACAGTCTAAGCTAATGCTGCTATTTCTACACCTCATAGCATGAGGATCTTTACATGGCGTGAGATAATTTGCTTCTATATGTAGTGAATGGGCTGTGTTATGTGAGAGTTACTTGCGAATTATTGTATGTTATTTGAATTTGATGCTTCAGGTTCGAACAATCACATTTTAAACATCTACCTGTTAGTACATACTAATCTGCGATCTCTCTCTCAGGTCGGACAGTGTCGGCCTCGGGGGCTACGGGCCCCTTCAGGGCCTTCCCCAAGTCTCTGAGCGTGGACTTTGGAGGTCTGAACCATCCCCAACCACAGCCTCTGCCTCAGTCTCTGTCCCAGCCGCAGCAGCAGCCTCAGCAACAGCAGCCTGTTGGCATCGGTCAGACGACACCGCCGGTCAGCAGCGGCAGTGCCCAGGATAGGTACGCTGCCGTGTCACAGCTGGACAGCGTCTTCTCTGAAACAACATCGGTCACAGGTACGATGTTTTTATCAGTCGAAGCTTTAATACTTTTTGTATCAGTGTAGTTCAGAGGCTTTTGCACAGTTGCATTTATTTCACAGCTTTTTGTATTCGTGTAAGGTGTGCACATAGACTGTATATAAAAGACGACGATAGCTGTTCTTGTTTTGTTTTTTTTGTTTTTTTAAATCTTAACTTTAGCTTTGCCTTGTTTTATTGCAACCACAGGTGACCATACAGAGACAGGAAGCTGGAGTGTTAAGTTCTAACATGAGACTAGCAAGCGTTTCACACACGGAGACAGGATGTGCAAATTAGTCTTAAGTGACACCAAGTAATAAATATTAGAATATGACTCACCGAAACTGTTGCACACACTTCCTGTAAGGGATGTGAGTGCAGTTGACTACACAGGAAGGTGTATTTGCATCATAAATGCTCTAAAGGGACCAAAACCACAAACATGTTTGAGAGTTACTGTGACTATAATTAGCTAAAGACTGGCAGACAGGTAGTTGGCTAGCCTACGTCCAGGTTTTACTCAAAGTGACCTCACCCCTTGATGACGAGTAACCTTAATTTGTTTGTGGGCAGGGTATGATAAAACAAAAATTCCCACCATGTGTAATAGTGTTTGTGTGTGTGGGGGGGGGGATTGGCCGTAGAAACTGAAAAGGTTTCTGTACCAAAGTTGGGGATTTTAATGGATTGAATCGGGTTTGGAGCCTCGAGTGGCCATTAGAGGAACTGCACCATCGGCTTCGTATTTTCGACTCGGTCTCTCCACTTGATTGTGGATTGAGTTTTACCAAAAAGTGCTGGTCCTCCAGGCCCCCCACTCAAAAATCTTCACTGTCCTGTCAAACACAGATTTATAAAAAAAAAAAAAAATTTACTCAAGAAAACTAATCCAAATTTATAAACTGAAGAACTTTCTTTTTTTCCAGTCCCATTAATCCTCTCACAACCTCTCTGACTAATCAGGAGGAGGGACTAAACTCCCTGCCTGAACAGAGAATAATTAAACCTTGCTTCAGCTTGACCTGATTACTTTTTCCCCATTGTTTCAGTAGCACTCTGGCTTCAATAAAGACCCGAGCACATCTTCCAGCACTGTGTAACAGATAGTTTGATTTGAGGGCTTCGCGTGTGCAGATTGTCGCGGTCAGCTCAGCTTGGTTGCATAACATCCTTACTCCAAATGCCAAGGCTTTTAGCAGCTGATTTATGCTCATTGTGTTTGCTCCAGATCGTGCACAGCGTGATTCAAAGGACCTTGTTTATAGGTTTTGAAATCAGCTGTGTTTGCGTTATAACTAAGCCGGCTGCTTTAATGCACAGCATTCGTGTGAGAGGCCTGCTAAGCTCTGCTGCTTTCCAGCGTCATCGCTGCCTCCCCTGCTTGGCAGAGTAGGGAGGTTATTGATTTTCTGCCTCGGCTCACTTTTGATTCATATCAAGCTGAACATGAAGATGATATTTTATTCAGGGCGTTTGTAATTCTTTTGTTCTGTGATGACTTGCATGCACGGGATCAGCAGTTTGGACTGTTTTAAAGGTTTTTGCTCACATATCAAGATCATAGCACCGCTCGAGCTCGTAAACCGGGGCTCATGTTGGGCCTGACATTGTGTTTGGTTGTGTTGTGATGCCTGTGGAAATGCTTGTTTGCAGCTCCACCTGCCGGCCCACCGCAGTACAGCGCCATCTTCGGCAGCAGGCTCTCATCCAGCTCAACTCCTGCCAGGTAGAGGAAAAAAAGCAGCCTTGTCAAATCAGCTTTTGTTAAACATGGCAGATTTTTAACTTTTCTGCTTGTGGAGCTGTTTAAAGGTCAAATTCTGATCGATCCTCCTTCCCCCCCCCCCCCTTTTCTTCTACTTCTCCCCAGCTCCCCTGGTGTCGATACCGTCTCCAGCTCCCAAAGTTTTGCAAGTAGGTGCCGAGTGCGAACTGCATCGATTGCTGCTGTTAACCTGCACTATTTACATTCAGTTCCCTCCTCTTCAAAAACAGTCCAGCACTCCAGATTAGACTGTGAAAATCAGAGCAGTGTTGCCTTGAATAGGCAGGAATGTAACCCGTTAACCCCCGGGCAGAACACTGAATTATCTCCCTGTCTCTCTCCCCCCAACCCGTGTGTCTCAGATTTCCCCAACCCATTCAGCTCCAGCTCCAGCTCCAGCTCCGCTTCCCAGCAGCCCGTCGCCCTCTCCCCCAGTAACCCCTTCAGTAACGCCTCAGGAGGTAAGCCCCATGCTCACTCTTTCTGAAACTTCCTGCTGCAACTTTTTAAGATGTTAGAGCAGCTTGAGCTGGTTAGATAACCACCGCTGTGGTGGAGGCAAAGAAATAATTACCACATGAAAAAATATATGTAGGGTTGAAACCCTTTTTACCTTCAGAGCCGCTTTAGTTCTTTGTTCTTCGATGACATCGCACAGCACATCCACGATGTGAATCTTTTGTTCCACCTGTTGAATGTGGAGGCCATTGGAGTGCAGTGAACTCATCGCTATGCTTAAGAAACCAATGTTTGAGCTTTGTGACATGATGTGTTATATGAAGATGTGTACACTGTGGTCATAAAGGGATGGACATGGTCAGCAACAACAATCAGGCTGGCTGTGGTATTTAAATGATGCTCAGTTGGTACTAAAACACTAAAAGTGTGCCAAGAAAACATCCCGCACACCATTACACCACCAGCAGCCTGAGCCATTGATTCAAGGCAGGTTTGATTCATGCTTTCATGTTATTTATACCAAATTCTGACTCCATCTCTGCCATCTGCAGCGGTTATCAATACTCATCAGACCAGGCAACATTTTTTCTCATCTTCTGTTATCTAATTTTAATGAGCCCACGGGAATTGTGTCTTCAGTTCCGATAGCAGTGACATGCGGTGTTGTCTTCTGCAGCTGTAGCTCATCAAGTTTGGAGTGGATGCGCTTCTGCATACCTCCCTTTTAACGACTGGGTAATTTGACTTATTGTTGCCTTCCTATTAGCTCGTAGCAGTCTGAGAACGGCTGCTCACTGGATATTTCCTCTTTTTCAGACTATTCTCTGTAAACCCTACAGATGGTTGTGTGTGAAGATCGCAGTAGATCAGCAGTTTCTGAAATACTCAGGCCAACCAGTCTGCTGTCAACAACCGTGCCAAATTAGGCATGCAGACATGTTCATCTTGAACTGTAGATATTCTCCTCGATCACATTTTTCCTGATATATTTATTTCCTCTCTCAGGCTGTCCTATGGATTTGTCAGGAGGCAGCACACCTACACTTGTGTTCAAACTTTTGTCTTTTAGCTTGACTCTACGTGACTTAAAGGACATGTGAATGCCTAAACTTAAAAACAGGAAATCACAGCCCGTTATAAAACACTGATCCCTCTGCTCTGTGTATAGGTTACATATTTCAAGCATTTAGTTCCTGCTTACAGAGTCTGAATGTAACGTTTGTGCTTATTTAAAAGTTAAAAACGCTCCTGTGTTTTCCCTCTGCTCGGCCCATTAACGGGTAACATTTAGTCTCCAGATCAGCTGCGTGAGCTGGGCCTTTATTTCTTTTCCTGTAGGGCAGTGAAAACGACGCGTAGAGCTGCTACACTGAAGTGTATGTTGTGTACACACTAAACGGTTGATTACACAAGCTCGCACACAGCTACCTGCTTTCACAGCCACTGAGGCTTCATGCTAGCAACGTTACTTTTTACTCGGGTCACTGACTTCACCCACCAAAGGCAGATATGTAAGAGGAAAGGCTCAGCGTGGAGCTGAAATCTCAGTTAAGCTTCTCTGGTGCATTAACCACAACGTGGATAAACGAATGCTCAGCGACGCTGTGATGTTTCATGATGCAAATAAACAACCTGGCGTTTGTTTCCTTTCAGCTTTAGACCCTCGCAGCTCTGGGCTTTCCATCGGCTCCACCTCAATTATTCAACAGTATCACGTATTCATGTATGCAGTTATACTCTTGACTGGTCGCAGGGCTCATTACTGCTTTATGTTTCCTGTAGGCTCTCTGTGTAAGGTACAGACACGGGGAAACAGTCTTTTACTGTCAGTCTGAGAGCAGCTGACAGATGTGTTCTGCATGGATTAATGATCTGTGTCTAATTTCGCCGCATGTGTGGGTGTTTCGCTTCTCCAGGTGACTCCAGTGCGTTTGTCACCTCACCCACCTCCGTTTTTCCTCCGTCCGGCGCTTTCCCAGCGGCTGCTACCCAGAATGCATTTCCTCACGAGTCAGCCACCAATCAGGAAGCAAATGGTGAGATTCGTTGCCTCTTATTTGTCCTCCTGTTTGATGTTTTTTTTGTTTGTTTGTTTGTTTTCTTGGATTATAAGTCAAGTTTTTAATTATTATTAATATTTTTATTTACATAATCTTCTTTTAATAACTCAAAATAGACCAAAAATGAAAAGTCTGGTCATTATTTAGTAAAAACAAAACAAAAACATATATTTGTTGGATTTTGTTGCTCTATTAAGGATTCGCTACTTATCTGTTTTCTATTGCTAAAAACTAATATCTTCTAATAATTTAAAAGGACATTTAACAAAATATCTTATTTTTATGCATCAGTTGTGTAAATGAAAATTTGTAAATGAAGATTGATAATTAAAAATTTTTTAAATCACACTTTTAATCAAAAGTCATGTCAAAATGCCAAACAATCTCTTTCCTCTTTATAAAGTCAGTTAGACTCTAAGTAGCTGTAATAGTTGTGAGGTCGACCACAGCGCAGAGACCACACAGAGACGTCCTGTAGTTCCTCCTTCACCTGATCTATGACTTCTAATATTCAGTTTACCCCTGGTGGTCTTCCTGGTGCCACCCTGCCCATTTAAGCACTTCGTCTGCCCAGTTAACTGAGCTACAGATGCTCAGAGTCGTGCTGGGTAGGAAACGAAGAGATGCTGGGTGTACTGGGAGATGACATGGATGAGGATGAGCAGGTGGTGGGCTTAACAAGGGACGACAGAGATGGGAGGTAGAAGAAGATAAGGTGCTGTGGTAGTTGGTTTTTATGAGAATACAAACCATATTACTTTATTACCTCCTGAAGCGCGAGCATCAAGTTAAGGGCCACACTGAGAAAAGACACCCAGACATTTACAATTATTGATGTGATTTATTTTAATACATCTCCTCCTCACGTGCAGCCAGCCCTCAAAAAGAAGAGAAGGTTATAATGCCGTCTGATCACAGTTGTATCACGCAGCCAACTCACAGCAGCTTGATCATGATATCTCCTGATAGCGCGAGAGATTCAACGAACCATGTCCTGATGTAAAAGCGAGCCGTGTTGTCGTTCTTCCACATGTGTCTGTGGGCCTGCGTCACAGGCCTGAACGTGACGATCTCACAGTTTTGTAGATTTTGGATGGTGGTGTCTACCTTTACCGTACAGCACATAAAAATGAAACTTAACTGGACTTTTAGATTGAGTTTAAAAGAGACATGACTCTGTTTCCATATCTCTGCCTGTGTGCGCATTCACACATCACCTGCTGAAAACATAGTAAATGCATGCACAAGCTTCTCTTTACACCAGTGCAGATCACAGCTGCAGCCACGCCAAAATGTACGAATTACAGCTTGATGTTTGACACCTGTCCTTATTATATATAGGACCTTACAATATAAAGCATTGTTGTTGTGATTTGGTGCCATATCAGGCTTAAAGTGAAAATTGGGGGGGGAACCATACTTTGATCCATATGTTGGACATAAAACGAGGCCCAAATGGAAAGCTCCCACTGCAGCGGGGACTGCTCGTCTTTCCTGAGACGCGCTGTGGCGTCCACTAGCAGCAGTCCAGGAATACCAAAATGACCCACCCAGTTTAGAGCTGCAGGTTTCTGGTTTCATGCCACACCATTTTC